CAGTCGACGACAGGTGGGAATTACGAGGGGCTCGAAAAGATTGCCATTTGGAAGATCATTCAAAGACGAGCCTTCCAAATAGAGATTAAAAAGGCGTCACAGTCTTTCAGCCAACGTAGCTTCAAACCGACCAGATGCAACAAAACATGTAAAAGGACATTAGTGCACTAATTATTTTTTTAATTAAATTTTCCTTTTGGTCTATTTCCTTTTTCGATTTTCCAATTTATAAAACTCAAAATCGTCAGTCCTATGAATGTGCAACATTGCGTATACGAATTTGGCACTAAATCAGATTCCGTATGTGTTTGGCATCTAGCTGTTTATTGGTTGAAATACGACCGCATGGCGCACCGAACCAATAGAAAAGACCTAGGTGCCAAATAAATATCCGGAATGCTTGGATGCACCGCACCGTATTGCCCTATAGCTACGCCACTGCCCATAAAGTCAGTCCTACTAACAAACCTTTTAACTTTATCCTTGTGTTCAATTTGGCAGTCAAAAAATTAGAATACCCTTCATTGTTTTTGGTATGAAAATAAAATATCCTAGGTATATACCTATAATATTTTTTGCTTCAGTGGCGTAGCGTGAACTTTCGTCGCCTGGGGCCGACCGGAAATTCGCCGACCCCTCTATTTTATATATAAGTCAAGAAAAGTCGTAAAAGTCAAATAAAGCATCTTTAATAGGGAATTTTCATATTTCTCAATTTTGTTTTTAGATACTTCCAGTGATCAGATATTACATAGTTTTTTTTTTTTCATTTTAATTTATACGTTGTACAAAAAAAAAAACTATTGAAATTCAAATCAAAAACTTTGGCGTGGGAACGCAAGGTTTCAATATGACAGCCCTCGTGACGTCAAGATTTCGTAAGCAACAAACGCAGCAAACGAACCCCTGCTGACGCAGTGCTATTTTTCTGTTGTTTAAGTTTGCTTTTTGTGAAAATTATCGCAATGGATGAAGAATATTGTAAAGGACTGCTTCTGAAAATTTTATTCCACTTGCAAGTTTTCTATTGACAGGTTTGTTCACAGAATCGTGACGTCAAAAAATGTAGCCATCATAGAAGCATTATTTTGGCGGGAAATTTTTTATTTAAAATTTAGTATTATCTCTTGTGTAACAAGGGCGGTATCAGTTAAATAAAAACCTGTCATATAAATATTGTGCAGTATAAACTACTATCGATTTATAAAATTAAGAAAATTTTATTTCACTTGCAAGTTCCCTATTTAGACGATGTAAATTTAGAGTTAGAGTATTTTGATTTTTGATTAAAATTTGCCGCTCCTTCTCGTATGTCGCCCCTCGCTACGCCACTGTTTTGCTTTAAACATGCAGTCTCCGGTCTTCGGAAAAAAGGCTCTTGGAATCTTGGATTTTACAAATACAAGGTCATCGATAATCAATAGTCAACAGAAATTCTGTCGAAAAAAGAAAACAAAATCCAAAAATGAGGTTAGAATGAAACTAAGCGGAGAAAATCTGGGGCTTAACCTAACTAGACCTGAGGTGGACCCTAAACAGCGGTGCAAAGCAAAATCGTAGTTTAAGTTCCACTTAAGACTAAGGTTGACCTTAAGTTGTACCGGTGCAAATAGCAGTTAATGTTTTTATAGTTAATGCATAGCCTCAAAATTCATAATGGAATGGTAGTCAAATCTATATTTCTATCAGTGTAGGTACCTGCCGTCTTCGCGCATACGGTTTACGATTTTTTTTAATTCCTATCCCTCGATTTGTGCTATTAACTGCAATGAAATAGACATCCCAACAAACACAATTACATTCCAAAGACGTACATAAGGTGTAACGTTATGACATACTGTACGTTCGTAAGACGTCGATTTTAGAGCCAAGTACGTCTTGAAGACGTAATGGGCAAGTCGTTCCATATACGTCTTAAAGACGTACAACTTAGAGCCATAAAGAACGTCCATAATACTTCTTGAAGACCTAATTAAGTGCAAACCAAATAAAAGAGGATTTTTTTACTCAAATCGTTTATTATTTATTCGCTATTAGCTTACTAAACCTGGAATAACAACAAAAGAAAAACATTAATTCAAAAGTATTGCAACTAGGTACCTACATAAATAAAGCATAACCTAAAAGAACTGCAACAACATTCTGTTAAGGATTGATTGGGTTGGGACTCTGGTAAACTAATTAGCACAACACTGTTTCACTGAACTGACTGAACTTAATTTATTATTAAAATTGGGAATATTCTGTCTATAACAACCTTAGAGCAGGTCTACACTTTATTTTTTCCCAAGATAGAATCTGACATTGTCAACTTTGAAACATTAACAATGCCGCTTATTGGTTGAAAGATGCCATTTGCAGGAGTTGCATTGTAAAACTGATGTCAACCTGTAGGGACACCTTATTTTGCGACTAATCAGGGCCAAGCGGTATTGTTTATGTTTCAAAGTTGACAATGTCAAAATCTATCTTGGGAAAAAATAAAGTATACAGTAGAACTAATTTTTAACCTCCTGTTCTGGAAACATCCATCAACATCACAATAACACATAAACTTTTTTGCTTATCTCACTTCTGAATTTGTAGGGATGGGTCTAATTAACTAAATTGTTGCTGTATTTTCTTTATTCAATAATTTTCACATAACTTTTGCACAAAATTTCTAACAGGCTTCTAACCTAACGTGTCGTTCGCCACCTCACATAAGACATAAAGACATAACGACATAACCTCAATCTCGGAACAAGGATATTACACCTCTCTTTCGCTAACTACCCTAACATCTACGTCATCATTTATCAAATTTCAAAATGACCATAAATGAGAGCGAAATTCAAAGAAAGTCTGTTTTTTTTTTTAAATATAATTCCCCAAATCAAAAATTTAGTAACCATGTTGGCAACACAAGCCTTTTCTACATAAAAAATTTGAAAGCATTGACAATTTCACATTGTATTGACAACATAATGTCATTTTGACTTTTATCTTTAAAAAAAAAACAGACTTTATTCAAATTTAAATTCCTACAGATCTGTTTGTATTTTACACTTTAAACATAAAACCAAAATGGTGGACGTAACTGTACGTAATATGGATGTTTAATATGTACCTACATAAAAGGTACAAAAGTGTACGTCTAATGTACGTTCTGAATAGGTCATATGACGTACGGACGTAAATATGACATAAAATGGACGTTTTAAGTATGTAGTGTGTTTGCTGGGATGGCGTGCTTCCAATAGAGCGGTGGTATATAAATATCTTGAAATTATTTTCCTGTTTAGGGTAGACGATTTTAGATGAAAATTTTTGTCGGCAAGCGAGAGATGCACTCTCAAACAAAACAAACAGCATAAGGTTATATCGATTTTCTGCTATAATGCTTACGGCTAACTGGTATTAGAATGAGATTAGTGCAAAGGCAAGAGTCGTTGGCTCTAGGCCTCTTAGGTATTTCATAACGCTTAAAGAAAACTATAGGGTGTTAATAAATAATGGGATCAAACTTCTAGGATAATTAGAACTCATTAAAATAAAAATAAAAAATTAATAGAAACATGGGTCCGCAAATGCTCAGTTTTCCAGATACTGGGTGTGAAACTTAGAAAAAAAATGTTCATTTTGCTCAAAAAAATTAATAGTTTTGGTAAAAAACAACACAAAATAATAAATCTCACCTTCACCTTTTCAATTCCACATTTTTCATTTCAGTACTGGAGTAGATTGCATTGGAAATTAAATATTTCATGTTCACTTATTCACTTGGAGTAAATTTGCAGAATCGGCTTTCTCGAATCCCTGTTTCACAACTTTCAATTTCAATCTCGATTTTAACACAAAAAAGTCTTCACTCTTTGAAAACTACAATAAAAAGCACAAAACGAAAATGTTTTATTTACAAAAGGTACCCTTTTAGTCCCAGATGATGTCGATGTAGGTTAGGTTGTAGGTTAGAAATAAAAGTAGGCTGGGATAGAAATCGATAAACCGCATTTGTGTCGATATTTGTTTTCCTTTTCTATCCTCTTTATTCAACTAGAAAGAAAAAATGTCGATATGGAACAGCTTCGGCCGGTAAATCGGGCAACTAAGCGCGTTCTGATTGGTGCAAAATCTGGCGGACTATTTCAAATATTGCCATTCTTTTCCCTTTAATATCTTCCTCAATAATTTTTTTAAAAATTAACCACATGGCCCTTTAAGTATTTTATCGGATAAGCTTCCAAACCATATGAATGAAATACTTAAATTCAATTGAGTGGGAAAGACCCATTCTCATGCTAATAATTTCACTTCTGACTCCAAACTTGTCATGGATTCCGAGTTCACTAAGACTCACTTCACAAACAGTAACAACTTTTCTATGATCGAATTGAATTCACGTATATAAAATCCATTTATTACTTATCCAAACGTACACAACAAATCTCGTGTAGGTATATTAAGATATAAATGAAACACGAATAAAGTTATGCGCATAAATATTGGTTAATCACTACTAATTCAATAACATTGAGAATTTCATACATCTGTCAAAACTGGTATTCCAACAATAAATTGACATGTTTTGATTGTTGATTTGAACCAATCAGATTGTAATTACGCGATAATTTGCACTAGTGCAAATTGGACCCCGTTATGCAATAAGGAACCAAATAACATTTTGGTTAAAAATGAGTTAGTCCCTTCTTTCAAACTTTAATATGGTTTCTCACATTTCGCAATACAGAACCAAGGTATAAATCACTTGTAGCGCCATCTATTGATTCAAAGAACCACCTGAAAATTCCAAAATGGGGGCTTTGTGATTTTCAACGAAGATCCAAGTATGCTTGGTTCTTGATTGCAAGATGCCAGTTAAAACTTCTTCAATATTGGGGAACCAATGTTCCTTGGAACCTTTTTGCAAAATGTGTTATTTCACTATTGCAGCTTAGGTAGCGAAGGTCTGTTGGTGGTGAATGTTAGTAGTCGTTATGTATTCCAAAAGAACAATATTAATGGTAGAAAAAGCTATGGCAATGTCGTCAGATATTCCAGGCACTTCGGTAAGTTGAATTAAATTATCATGATCTGTTTTATTCATTATTATGTGTAAATAATAATATCATAACCTCAAAATTTAATTATTATTGTTTTTATATAAAAAATACGTATTTGATCGTTATTTATGTGGAAAAAGAATAAACATTGTTTATAATTGACTACTCTTATTACATATTTTGATTACTCTTATTAGATATTTTGATTAGATCTATCATTTTATCAAAAATGCAGTTGGTTCCCTATTGCTAGTTTCAGCTATCTATCTATCTTTTATTTTGTCTAGTTAAACAAATAACTATGCTTGGGTTTGTTTGGTAATTATTATAATAGTATATTTCTTACAGGGTCTAGAAAAGCGTGAAGACACAAACTCCGAACTACAAAACAGTTGTGATAAATTTAGTGATAATGATCATTTAAAACACAATATCGAAGTTGATGATATTGAAGAGTCCGAAGACTCCGACGATTCAGTCAAGGACAAGGACTATGGTCCAACCGCTTCAGATGAATCCTCCGTCGATAGTGATTTCGATCAGCAAGAGGTGCCATTACAAGAAATTACAGAAGCAGAAACAAATAATAACAATATCACTATAGTGGAAAAATATAAGGGCCGTCCGAAAAAGGGAAGAAAAATAAAACATGAAGGACAGGATAGAGCAAAAAGGAAGAAACTGACAAACAGTAATAAGCAATATTATTCAGCTAAAGGAAAACTGGTTCATCCAAAAGAATTTGTTGAATATATATGTCCATGTTCCATGGAATGTCACCAAAAAGTATCTATTGAAGAGAGAAGGCAGTTTTTTGACCACTATTGGAACTTGGGAGACTATAACGTTCAAACAACCTACTTATCGACATGTGTTAGGGAAGAAAAGAAAAAACGGGCACATACTGCTGCCAGAAATCCAGAAAAGCGACAATTTTCCAGACAATACTTTATCAACAAACATCTTGTTTGTAGAAATATGTTTGTTAAAACTCTCCAAATCTCAACTAAACGCATTAATACATCACTTTGCAAGATAAGGAAATTATCAACACTTGACTGCCGAGGTGTTGCTGGTGGTCACAACAAAATTTCTGATGAGCAAAAAAATTCGGTTATCAGTCACATTAATAAATTTCCCCGCTATAAGTCTCACTACTGCAGAATGAAGAAAGACAAACAGGAATACCTAACAGAAGGAACGACACTTACAGTTATGTACAAGCTTTACAAAGATGAAAATGTAAATAATCCAGTCAGCTTCTCCTCTTACAAAAAAATCTTTTTACGTGATTTTAATTTAAAAGTCAAAAAGCCTAAGAAAGATTCCTGCAATAAGTGCGACACTTTACATCAAAATAAAAAATTTACCTGCCGGAGAGGAGAAAGATAAAATCAGTATGGAGCATAGCGTCCATTTGGCGGAAGCAGAGAAAGCTAGAAGTAAGATGAACAGTGACATCGAAAAAGCAATCAATAACAATGAAATAGAAACACTGACCTTTGACATGGAAAAAACACTCCCGCTACCACGTATTAGTACAAACATTATATTTTATAAAAGGCAGCTGTGGCTTTATAACTGCGGGATATTTGCAGGAAAAGAAACAAAGTCTACTTTTAACTTGTGGCTTGAAGGACAAGCGGGTCGCGGTGCCCAAGAAGTGGGTTCTTGTTTGCTTCTATATATTGCAAATAATATCTCAAAAACCGTTAAGAACCTGATATTATGGAGCGACTCCTGCGGAGGACAAAACCGCAATATCAAAATGGTGCTTCTGTTAAAATGTGCTCTTGAAGTATCTACACACCTCGAAAGTATAGAGCTGCGCTTTTTAGTATCGGGACATAGTTTTCTGCCCAATGACAGTGATTTTGGGGATGTAGAATGCGTTCTCAAAAGGCAAACTAAAATGTATTCGCCTGAGGATTACATCCAGGTTATGAAATCCTGCAGAAGGCAGCATCCCATTGAGATTGTATCTATGGAAAAGAAAAACTTTGTGAGCACCAAGATGCTCGAAAAAGAAATCATTAACAGAAAAAAAAGCTGCGTAGAGGAGAAGATCAACTGGTTGAAAATTAAAGAGATAAAGATTTTAAAAGAAAGTCCCTATAGTATTTTCATCAAAACAAATTATGAAGACTCCGACGACTATAAAGAAATAAATATTAAAAAAGGAAAAGGAAAACCACAGAAAACACCTTTTTCTAGACATTTAACACCTCTTTGGCCTGACGGAAAGCCTATAGCAGAAGCTAAACTCAAAGATATAAAGAGCTACCTACACTTAATTCCTCTGGCGGACCATCCATTTTATGTTAACCTTATTGGTGATGATACAATCGAGGAAGACCTAGAGGGATATAACGCAAATCTAGATTTCGAAATAGAAGAAGACTGATTCTCAAAAAAAAATATTTTGCAATAAGGAACCAAGTGTTTTTTTTTCTTGTTATATTGAAAATTTTCTGTTTATTTTTCTAGTGTTACCTTGATATACTCACAAGTAAATAAAATGCTACAAAAAAAACAGCTTCTTTTCATTCATAGTTGCTCTTGTTTTAAGTAAGAGCTAAAGTACTATTTTTATTTTTTTACTCAGAAACATGTTTTTGTTAGTTGGTCCCCTATTGCATAACGGGGTCCAATTATCAGATAATTGCATACTAACTGGTGCGAAAACTGGTGTTTTGACATTTTTTGAGAAAAAATTTAAATTTTTGATTTATGAAATTCTCTCATTAAATACAACTCGTGCAATGGAAATATATTTATAATTTTCGACAAATTTGCACTCATGCGTTTTTAACTGAAAAAGGCACTCATGCACTACGTGCACTCGTGCAAATTTCCCAAAAATTATCAATAATTTCCATTGCACTAGTTATATTATTATTGAAAATTATACAATTATATAGCAATCATTATTTATTAGACATTGGAAATGCTACGAGATGATGAAAAATATAGGTTATTAGATTCCATTCGGTTTTTCTTTTTGTCGAATTCTTGTATGATTGAATAAATACCATTTCTCAATCCAACACTGATTTCCGAGACGAACGATGAGGACGTCGGACCCCTATAGCCTAGGTGTTCGGGTTATTCCAAGCACGTGCCCACGTCGACCAACACGTAGGTTACGGAATTTTCTTTAAAAGCTTCGTGCAAAGTTAAGATTTTTCCGCTTTCAATCTGCTCCGGTTTGAAAATTTGTTTTAATTTACATTGATTGTATTCGCCTCTAATGAAAAGAAAATCCTACTTGATCTTAATTTGAGAGAGTTTGTTGGAATGGGGGAAGGGTGCATCTCAATTAAGAAAGTACCTATTAAATTTAGTGTTATTCACTCTCAATGAAGTTATTTTTTTTTTATTTTAATGGAATTATAAACTGTCAATATAAAATAATTATTCAAGATAATTCTACATTTTCTAGTCTTCGTTTAAACTTTGGTTTCACTAGGAAATATTTCATTCGCTTTCTGATAGGCTGTCAACCAAAAACCAATCCACCAATAAATTATTACCAGGTAACCACGAAACCCATCCGATTCCGGAAGTCTATAGGCATTATTATTCAAAAATGTCGTTATATTAAGTCACGAGCCTCAAAACGTGAATAGACTTTCTAAATAAATCGTTGCTTTATCTTTCAATTATCTGCACAATGTTTTATGGTGAGTACCTATAGTGGCATACCGTCACCGCCTACCATTATTTTACATCTTTATTTATGATGATTTGAGAGGAATCTTCACTAATATTAAGATTGGATCAGGTAGCAAGTGATTGGTTTCGTTTTCTTTTGATCACGGCAATAATTCTTTCAAAAGATCACGAAGCTGTCCCGTTAATTGGTTAGCGTCAGGAGGAATAATAGTTTATTAGAAATTGCCTGGTTGTATTTGACTAGAAGACATCCTGTTAATGAGAAGAAAATTACATTTTTCACTTGTTGTGGGTTTGGACTAAGTGAAGAAAGATTTGGTAACATGAAGACAAATATTAAGGTCATTGTACTAGGTCAGGAACGATCACCGGATATATTTGCCTTCCAGATATTATTGGCGTAGCATCATCCTTGGAAATTTGGCAGGTTGACTCTCGTATAATAATGACATTATAGGTCAAATAAAAGGCAGTTTTAAGTGTGTTTTACATAATTTCGCAACTTTCGCGGTATTAAAATTCTCTGGCCTATCTGGCCAATCAAATTTAACACATTTTTCAATGTTGCAATTTATAAACGGTACCTAACTATTTTAAATACCTGCAAAATCTGATAAAATTTGTGAGGCTTTCGCGGCCCAGGTTTATTGATAAGGGGTTTTCATTTGGGCTTAATGGCCGTCATAAGTTATAATTTCTTCCTGACGTTTCGCTAGCACGCGTGGCTAGCATCTTCAGAGGTGCTTCCATGTCCGATTCTGGTAGGAGACTAACGCGTTCCCGATCGTAAGTTGTATTTATGTGTGAGTGGCTGTGATGGGGTAGGGGAATACCAACAAACTGATTAGGTCATCTACCCTAACAGACACGGTTAAGAAAGGCATCATAAAAACAGAAGCAGTTCCACCACGACTCTACGGCCTACCCAAGATTCACAAACCGGAAGTCCCGCTAAGACCTATAGTGAGTGCACCTGGAGCACCAACGTACAACCTAGCGAAACATCTTGCATCGCTTCTTCAAACGCATGTAGGAAAAACTAGCTCTTACGTCAAGGACTCCACTCACTTTGTCCGGAAAATTAGGGATATTATTCTTCAACCTAACGATATCCTGGTCAGCTTTGATATCGTGTCCCTATTCACAAAAGTGCCATGTTGACAGAATCTCTTGACTTGATATCAAGTACCTTCCCCAATGACATAGTTGAGCTTTTTGGGACATGTCTCACTGGTAGTTACTTCCTGTGAACCGGCGATATCTACGAGCAAACGGACGGTGTAGCTATGGGAAGTCCGTTCAGCCCGATCATAGCCAACTTCTTTATGGAGGAATTCGAGAGGAAAGCTATAGAATCCTTTGACCACAAACCGACGGTATGACTTCGATACGTAGATGATAATTTGTGGTTTGGAGTCATGGAGAAGAGAAGCTTAACCAGTTCCTAGACCACCTGAACGAGCAACATCCTAGTATAGAATTTACCATGGAAAAGGAGAAAAACCAGGAAATGGCCTTCTTAGATGTGCAAAGAAATCTGGAGGAAAACTAATCCACACGGTGTACCGAAAACCTACACATACAGACAGGTACCTGCATGCACTTTCAAACCACCATCCAAGGCAAAAACGTGGAATTATAACAACGTTAACAGAATGTGCTCGGAACATCTGCGAGCCACAATATCTCGAGCAAGAACTAGATCATCTCAAGTCGGCCTTTCTATCAAATGGTTACAATGCATCTGAAATCGACAGGGCCATGCGACACAAAACTGACACACGACAAAACGCGGATGAACAACGAGTGGTGGCTAATGCATATCTGCCTTTCATTTCTCGAGTGACAGACAGGATAGGGAAAGTCTTGAAGAAACACAACATAAAAACAATCTTCAAGCCAACAAGGAAAATACAGCAATCAATCAGATCAGCCAAGGATAAGAGGAACCCACTGTCAAGCGCTGGAGTCTATCGTATATAAGTACCATGCACATGTGGTAAGGTATACATAGGAACGACAAAAAGATCCATGGGAACCAGGATGAATGAGCACAAAAGAAACTGCAGACTAGGACAATCGGAAAAATCGGCAGTTGCGGAACATGCGCTTAGTGAAGGGAATCATGAAATACTCTTTGGTGAGGTCAAGCTTCTTTCTCCAGCTTCCGGATACCACAATCGTCTTGTACGTGAAGCTATAGAAATCCACAAACATACGGAGAACTTCAACAGGAAACAAGAAACACTAAAACTCAACCAAATCTGGAACCCGATCCTCAAAAACGCAAGAAAGATCCCATTGAGTACAGAGAAAATTGAGATTAGCCACGTGCCGCGAAGCCCCGCCCCTCCCTCCCACATAAATACAACTTACGGTCGGGAACGCGTCAGACTCCCACCAGAATCAGACATGGAAGTACCTCTGAAGATGCTAGCCACGCGTGCTAGCGAAACGTCAGGAAGAAATTCCAACTTACGACGGCCATCAAGCCCGAATGAAAACCCCTTATCTGCAAAATCTTTTGACATTTCTCAAAATTCGGCATTGTCAAATTTATTTTATCCCATTTTGACGTTTGAAAATGACATTATTGAACGCATAACAATAAAGGTAAGGAGAAGTTTATCACCTCAGTGATTTAAAAACATTTTAGCTTACTCTCGGCATTTTAAGTCACTCTGCCCAACTAAAAATCTGAAACCTCAGTGATTTAAAATATTTTTAACTCACTCCCGGCATTTTTCCTTCAACTTTATTTATAAAATTTTCACAAAATGGGATAAAATTTTGTATACATCACGTGAGTTAAAATATTTATTCATTCGAAGAAAATTAACCCACTCGCTAGGGCTCGTGGGTTAAACTTTCTTCTCATGAATAAATATTCATTTAACTCACTTGGTATATAAATAACTATTATATTCAAGATGCTCAAAATAATTTCACAAGAAAAAATAAGGGAAATAATAAAATCGTAACATTTCGAGACAAACATACCAGAGGTTTTTGGGGAATAATAATGGACCTTTCTCATTTTACCTGTGCTGCGCGCGCATCTTGTGGGTGACAGATAATTAAATCGTCAATTTACTAAACACGGTCTGACCCTGACGTATTTAAGCTAACCTCAAAAATCAATCAGTATCAATCAATTATTGCTGAAAATTATTACAAAAACTGTTTATGATACAATGGTTCAAATGAGTTGAATGAGTTCTTGTCAGAATTAGGCGAAAAAGAAGTCAAACCTTTCTTTTCACAAGTTCCCAAGCAATCAAATTGTAAGAAAACAATAGTTACGTGCTCTCAACCCGAATGAAGACGATTTAGGTTGGGACAGAGATTTGAGGGTTCGTAAAATAACGATTTTTATATCAAATACAATAATAATGTACAATTAAAGGTTTGCTGCAAACATTTTTGCTGCGGTGGGTTTTCTTTCTAATTAATGTTAATACGTATTTTGTCATATTTACGTTTAAAAATAAACAAAAACAGAAACATAACCGAAATTGCACAATTTGACAAGTGGAACCAATCAAAGTCATTCCACACAGGTATCGCGCGTCATTATATGTCTCTTTCTTTATTGCAGAAATCTTAATAAACTATCCTTGTTGTTCATTGCATGAGAAAGGTCCATTGAAGCCCAACTACCAGATATATTTGGGGTAGGTATAGTTTAGATGTACCTAGATGTAAAGCCAGTTTTCACAACCAGCAACC